TTCTGGGTAGGAGAGAGACAGTGGCATTCGTGTTGATTGCAGTAAATGTTTCAAAACCGATATTGTTGTTTCTTTTTATTTGATAACAAATTCCATCCATTTTAGCTATAATAACGATAACGGTATTTTTCAAGGCATTATCATTTACAGAAAACCTCGAGCTTCTGCAAATGAAAATACCCAGAAAAATAGCGTTACCCTTATATCAAGTAAGTTTCTCTACGGTTGACATTTCATACGTTTTTCTTCATTTTGACTATTAAAATGTCAAGGGAGTAATAATAATTGGAATAATCTACAGGAAACTCATAATATCTGATTATCTGACCCTCGTGAAAGAATGCGGTAAGTCTCCCGCCAAGGGTCGCGATTAACACCATTCTTTCACTCGGGATAATCCATCATTCCTCGCAGCGTGTGGGTTGGTCTCTAATTGAATACCCAAAGAAAACTATCAATACCCAAGGTGAATTATAGCATGTGAGTAAATACTCAATAACTGAAAACATCTGGAAGCCTGCCGCCCCAGAAACAACTTCAGTGTTGACGTGGATATCGTTGACCTCGTGGTGATATGCTCTTTGGTAGACTAAAACCGACCTGCCAAAATACATGGTGTGTTATTACGTGTCAATCGATGCATGAGTTTCTTGGTAATAAATTTCAAAATATTTATGACGTAAATGAGTGATGCAATAGCGTAATATTTTTCATAATCGATTTCTGGTCCTGCTTATACAACGTGTTCAACGTGTTCGTAAACAGCCCCGGACAAGACTACGCAATCACTATTCAGATCAAGGTTATTCTTCGAATTAACCCAATTCTTTCCTTTAATCCGTGTTACGGTTGTACGTAAATCGGGCTTTGACAAATCTTGAATTAAACTAATTCAATAGGCAATGGTAAGCGAAAAAGTTACATTGTTACACAACCTTTGGGAGTTATCACACTTATATAAGTCCTTCCTTTGCTCGCGGCTGTGATATGACAATTGAAGGAGCGTACATACATCTCACCGACGTGTTGAGGGGCATGATGCAACACCGCGGGGAGCACGGGAACACATGTGGGATGTGGTCAACAGGTGGAAGAGATAGGGCAACAGCCTGCAGATCGATTAAATCGATATTACAGACGAGGGCAAATTGAAAACTGCGGAGATCTTGCTTTGTCGTCATCAGCAGGTGTTACCACATTTCCATCCACCGCACAGCGTGGGACGTAACCAATTTGAATGTTTAATCCCCCATAAAACAATCTGCCCGCTCAGTTCGTAAGACCCGCATCGATCTGGGATACAGCAAAGTATATCAATCAATTGTAAATGTCGAACAGGTAAACAAAATGGAACCGATGGTTTTTCATGCATTCGGAACACACCAGTAGGTGAGGTGATGAAGGACTGCCTGGTGATGGATTGCACTGATGCACTAACAGACACCTCTCATCAACTGCGCATGCCCACGTTAACGTCAATACCCTATCGGTGTATCACACTGACGAGGAGTGAGCGAGTGCATTCGTGAGGGAAATTGGTCGGTTCTCCGCGTGAGGCCGTTTCAACAATTATTGGTTATTCTAGCTGTCCAAAAAGTCTCCCATTGCTTTTACAGCTGTGGTATAGTTGTGCAACCACTCCTCTCTGTCACTGAAACGCCAAATCGATCTACAAGAAAATCCGTACAAGACAGCACGTCGCGTTACGTCAGCGTCAACATCGCGTCACGACAAGGACTACCTTTCGTGTCGGATGGAGACATGTCAACAGCTCCTGTGTAAACAGGCGCGGCTTGGTCACCGTGCTCGATTTCCTAGACGCATGTCAAGCTGACCTGACACTGAAAAACATCGAAAATCTAAGACAGTTGTACTTGGAACTTTATCGTCTTAAAACGTGTAACATTAACGAAATATTCCCCCAGAATCATCACATGTTGCTCTAGTTTCTCAGAAAATGGGAATTCTGAATGGTAAACAAGAGAATACGGATATCCGCTGGGAGATAGTGCTGGGGTTGAGCTGATGCAATCATGTGACATGCATGGGCATCCTGTCGTATTGAGTAAATATAAGGCTAGTGTCTTGTATTGAGTCAATATATGGCTCAATACGATGTATAAAGTCATACGTCAATGTATTTACACTTGCTAACGGATACACCACACCATGTTTCGTACATACATATATGACAACATTCACATTTGGTTAAAGAACATAATGTTCACGTTTGGCATTATTATAGTGAATGAGTTTGATTTTACGCCGCTTTTAGCAATTTTCCAGCAATATCACGGCGGGGTCACCAGAAATGTGCTCCACACATCGAACCCGGGTCTTCAGCGTGACGAGCGAACTTGAACCACTAGGCTACCCCACCGTCCCTTCGACGTTATTTAAATAACAAAAGAAACATCACAAGAGATACACGTGGGGTTCTATTGTTAACATTTGAGTGACCTCTTGAGATATTGAAATATCAGAAATATGACCAAATGTTTGTTGGCAGTGGTGAAAAGAAAATGAATACATTTTATATACTACTAACAGTAAGAGGGCAAAGCAATCACCCTGCCATAACCCCAGCGGCTATAATATAACAGGAAATGGTTATTCATCGTGTGGTATGTCGCCATTATACCATAACACGACGTGGCCTGGGGGGTAGTAGGAAATAATAATCCGTAGTTTTGTTACTACGAAAAGCTTATAACTGAATAACGGGGGCTAATTATTTTCCTCTATCCCCGGGCCAGGTCGTCTGGCAATAATGAATGGTGCAATTCCCGTATCGTCCCATATTCAACTGAGTGACTCAGAAGAATACCTATAGCCAGTTTAGCTGGTCCAGAGCTCCAGATAAGCTTTGGTGTTGTGGGTATTTTACCCATGCATTTTAAAATCATTGGGTATCAGTAATTCTATCTGGGTATTCAAATTTCTGTTACCCACTAGTTTTTACACATGTGGGTATTTAACTTAAATATTTCAAAACATTATTCATCTAGTCCCCGCAAACTGGTGGCGTGTGGGTTCGAGATCTTTATAAGACGATACTTCCACAAAAAGGTGTGATGGCAAATGATCATGATGTAACTGTCACCGTGGAGTTTGGCAAGCTTGACGGAATGTCCGTTTATAATTTCAAAATAATTGGTGATTTGCTAATCGAATACGCAGGGTTACTTCACAATATTTTGATGATACGCACAAGTTTTATTTTTGTAGCGTATCTGTAATGTTCGTTGCGTATTTGATACGCTTGGATTTTATTTTACTGCGTATTACTGCATTTCTGATGCGTATTTTACGCAGATACGCAGCTTATCAGGAGCTCTGTGGTCTCATATAAATACGCACAAATTTCAGCGAGGCTTGTTTATGCTAACCAGAGATAAGAAACAACATCACGTAAACAGTAGTCAGCCTAATTGTGGCACACAGGCGTGTTTCTGTCGGAATAATGAAATATAGTTAAATGAATAGTTTGTTCAGAAATATGCCCCAAAAAGCGAGTTTGTTCGCAGTGGTGAAAAAATGAATTTTTTGTGTGTGTGGAAAATAACAAACGTCAAAATGTTTTATCTTATGATACAGTAAACAACCAGAAAACGGACAGTGAGATTCCGCGCGAAAGACCACTCACTCGATTTCCTATACAGATAATAGGGAAAGACTTCCGCCCGTATCCCCCTCCAAAAGTTATATATGTAAGCATTGCCGATCAATCCTTTTAATTTTACATATATTTTTAGGGCGGAAGTCTTACCGATAATTGCAGGTATAATTAGGCTAATGTAATACAAATAGTGTTCTCCACAAGAAATAAATCGGTGACATGAAGATCGTCTTAAGCTGGTAATTAAATACTCTCCTTTCCTTCACACGACTGTTTATTATTTCTACACAGCATCCAGTAAGTACGTACATGTATATACAACTGGTACATGTATATACAACTGGTACATGTATATACAACTGGATTATGACAAGATATAGCTATTTACTTACATCGTGACAACTCAGCTTGGTTGCTAAGGTAACCAATAGTTTTACAATGCTGACAAGACAGTGTTACACAAATAGCTAGCAACACACATACAATCTTATTGATTCCAGCAGAAGAGACAAGCCAGCTTGCTCTATATAAAAATCACCTGTAACACGAGGAGTTAATAAAATCATATATAGTCGCATCTCATTGCGACATCTGTAAAACTACAGCGAGTCCTTTATCACGTTTATTCATAGCAGTCTTTGAAGCTAAGCAATGACAGGTGTATCGAATTTCAAAACCTCGTTTCGATCCACCGAGCTTGGGTGTCACTTTAAGCAGACAGTATAAGCACATAGGTATCGTGTTTACAAAACGTGACAACACCTCAAAACAAAAAACAACATTGATCATTTCATCGGCCTTCGCGCGCATGTATTCTGTCAACACATTTTCAGGCAGCGCAGTTTCGCGCGCACCTCAACACTACCACGTGGCTTGATTTCATCATCACAACCTGGTGGCTGTGGGTCATCGAGTGTGACGGGTGATGCAATTTTAATGTCAACATATATACCTTCGTCCTAACTACTAAAGCTACCATGGTCTTGCGTAATCAGTGTTAATATGTTCACAAATGTCACGCTATAAACAACGAAGGGAAAACAAAACACCGGATGTCTTTTGTCATTGTAACCGAGGTAAACACGTGTGGCTTTCCTCGCGCTTCCTTGCCACGAGGAATATGAAATCATGAACAGTCGGCCTAAATATAACTTGAAAGGAAAAAAAACATAAGGTTGTGTACCGTGATTACAAAAAAATGGATCAAATTATAAAATATAAATCGCATGATTATTAAACCTGATGAATCTTGATCCTGATGGGTGGGAAAAACGGGATTATTTGTACAGTTGAGGGAAAAGAACTGTGGTTGTAAATATGGTTATAGTTAATATACTAAATAAAATCGAAATGGTTAATAATAAGAAAAATAGTTACTTACATATACACACGACAGCCAGAAGTCTTACTGCAGTGCCCGGCTGGTCGCAGTCGGGAAATAGAGGCTCTATGACATAATAAGCGAATGTAAGAGCCACTATTGCTTGAGAGCAGGGTCGAACGATCATACATTCTACCCACAATCTTATAAACGCCAGAAATGGTCCAAACGCTTCAAATATATAGGCATAATCTGCTCCAGACCGTACGATTGAGGTTCCAAGTTCAGCATAACAATAAGCTCCGACCATCGAAAATAAGCCACAGAGAATCCAAACAATGAGAGAGAGACCCACGCTTCCCGCGCCTTCTACGACACCTTTGGGACTCACGAATATCCCCGATCCGATGATGCTACCAACGATGACAGTTACGCCGTTTAAAAGTGTGATTTTCTGTTGCAGTTTGACTCCACCCTCGCTCTGCTGTGTTTCGGGTGATCCTGGTTTTCCCTCACCATTTTCCGGTTTGAGAGGCATCGAGGAATCGTTGAGCGCTTCTGCCATGTTTTCTCGTAGATGTTAATTCCCCGCTAGTAGTAAAATGCCCTATTGATAAATAAAGGACCTGATATCAGAGCTTATCCACACAGCGTATCGTACACTGTACACACACACACACACTGATTCCACTGATAAGCAACCGGCACGAGAGCGCTTTCACAACGTGTTGTCTCAGTTGTAAACTATCAATGGGAACGTGGGTTGCGCCTACGTCACGCCTTTATGTGTATCACGTGATCATTTTGTTTGTTGCGTTGGTATGCACTTTCGTGCAAGCGCACTACCTTCGTGCCTCACCGGGTAACTCAATCACCGCGGGACAAAACTCCAACTGACGGTCATCTGTTATTGGGCAGTTGGGCTAAAATATGTCCTTTCAAATGATAATATGCGAAAAGTTTAACACGGTTCACACAAATTGTACACCTTTACAAATTACACACCCCATGAAATACCAAATATTATAAAAAAACAAACTGAATATTTAATGTTGACACAAATAAGAGTTTGTGTCAACTCGGGAGCTTTTTTTACACAAATCAATTTGTAGTGTTGAACATTACAATTAAGTATTATTTATTTATTTATTTATTTATTTATTTATTCACATTTTGATATGACAGGTGTCCTTTTGTATCAGCGAAAGTTGCATTCTTTTGTTTTTTTTGGTTGTTGTTTTTTGTAGTTAACTGATTCTCGTAAAGAGGACTGAAATAGTGAAATTATTGTTTGATATTGTGGGAGGTTTTTGTACTCTACATCGTGTCATGTTCCAGTCGTTTGTCGTTGTTTAAAAATGTACGTATAGATAACGCTGTGTACAAATTATTTACTTATCTAAAGGCAAATATAGATTTTAACAATCAGCTTGCGGCGATTTTAATGTCGCAGATTCATTTCTTGTGGGAACACTATTTGGATTATAAGAGCCTAATTGTACCCACCACCGCGGAATCGCGCTGTCCTTTCCGCCAGTGCCATGTCGAGGGATGTAGGGTAGCCGAGTGGTTAAAGCGTTCGCTCTTCACGCAGAAAGTACGGGTTTCATTCCCAACATGGGTGCAATGTTGAAGCCTGTTTCTGGTGTCCCCGCCGTGATATTGCTGGGATATTGCTAAAACCGGCGTAGAAACATACTCACTCACTCTGTGAACTGTGAACTCAGTTATTGTATAGTGGTCCACGTAGCCTCCTGGGTTCGAACTGGTCACTAGCATCCAATGCTGGTCGCAAGAGGCGACTAAATGGATAGGATGGTCACAATGGGGGTCACGGGTGATGGCTCGTTGCTCACAATATCAATCACTGGATTGTCTGGTCCAGACTCGATTAGGGCATTAAACAACAAACAAACCTAAAATAGTATATCGTGGAACAGTGGCCTCATAATAACGTTGGATATTCCAGCGTAAAAGCTCAGAGAGGCCCATACCAGAGATAAGAAATATTGTCACATATGCAAAGCTTTAATGCTGACTGTGCAAGACAGGCATGTCAATCTACTCACCTGTGGAAACCATACCATGTGTTACAGATATATGGAACATTCTTTGAAATGTGCACTCGGCAGAATCACTAAAATAAATCAAAACTACCGAAATAATGACCTTATAGCCATTTGAAGTTATGGAAATGTAAAAGCAAACGGTGACTTTTAACTGTCCACTAGTTCACTTCCTTATACTTCAAGAACATTACAAAACTGGTATTTTTAATTAGGTAAATGAATATTATTAGATAACAATCAACATGCATCGCAGCTGTTGTCCATTACAAAATGGAAAACGTGTTCAAAATTTAATGTGTGTGATCATTATTTTCCATCATCCAACATTTGGTTGTGTTACTAATAATATGCGATTAGCCGTAAACGCATGACTAAGGTGGAATAGTCCTGTTTAAATTACAATATATTCCAATTTCTTGGGCTAGGTTACCAAATTAGCCAAGCTGTTGCAAATGGTATTAGATGGTATTAAATTGATGTTTATCATGAGCACTTGATGGAGTTTTACTTTTAATTATTGATTTCACACAATTTATTGACTCGATTTCTAACAAAAACAGTTGCTGAATTATATTTTTTAAACAAATAGAAAAGGGCATATTACATGTAATTGTTTTGTACATAACAGGATCTCTCCTCCTCTCTCTCTCTATAACTCTCCCCCCTCTCCCTCTCTTTAACTCTTCCCCTCTCTCTCTCTCTATAACTCTTCCTCCTCCCTCTCTCAATAACTCTTCCGCCTCCCTCTCTCTATAACTCTTCCCCCCTCTCTCTCTTTTACTCTTCCCCTCTCTCTCTCTATAACTCTCCCCTCTCTCTCTCTATAACTCTTCCCCCTCCCTCTCTCTATAACTCTTCCTCCTCTCTCTCTCTATAACTCTTCCCCCTCTCTCTCTCTTTAACTCTTCCCCCTCCCTCTCTCTATAACTCTTCCCCTCTCTCTCTATAACTCTTCCCCTCTCTCTCTCTATAACTCTTCCCCCTCTCTCTCTCTATAACTCTTCCCCTCTCTCTCTCTATAACTCTTCCCCTCTCTCTCTCTATAACTCTTCCCCTCTCTCTCTCTATAACTCTTCCCCCTCCCTCTCTCTATAACTCTTCCCCTCTCTCTCTCTATAACTCTTCCGCCTCTCTCTTTCTATAACTCTTCCCCTCTCTCTCTCTATAACTCTTCCTCCTCTCTCTCTCTATAACTCTTCCCCCTCTCTCTCTCTTTAACTCTTCCCCTCCTCTCTCTATAACTCTTCCGCCTCCCTCTCTCTATAACTCTTCCTCCTCTCTCTCTCTATAAGTCTCCCCTCTCCCTCTCTATAACTCTTCCCCCCTCTCTCTCTATAACTCTTCCCCCTCCCTCTCTCTATAACTCTTCCTCCTCTCTCTCTCTATAACTCTCCCCCCTCTCCCTCTCTTTAACTCTTCCCCCTCCCACTCTCTATAACTCTTCCCCCTCCCACTCTCTATAACTCTTCCCCCTCTCTCTCTCTTTAACTCTTCCCCTCTCTCTCTCTATAACTCTTCCCCCTCTCTCTCTCTCTTTAACTCTTCCGCCTCCCTCTCTCTATAACTGTTCCTCCTCTCTCTCTCTATAACTCTCCCCTCTCCCTCTCTTTAACTCTTCCCCTCTCTCTATATATATCTCTTCCCCTCTCTCTCTCTATAACTCTTCCGCCTCCCTCTCTCTATAACTCTTCCTCCTCTCTCTCTCTATAAGTCTCCCCTCTCCCTCTCTATAACTCTTCCCCCCTCTCTCTCTATAACTCTTCCCCCTCTCCCTCTCTCTATAACTCTTCCGCCTCCCTCTCTCTATAACTGTTCCTCCTCTCTCTCTCTATAACTCTCCCCTCTCTCTCTCTATAACTCTTCCCCTCTCTCTCTCTATAACTCTTCCTCCTCTCTCTCTCTATAACTCTTCCCCTCTCTCTCTCTTTAACTCTTCCCCTCCCTCTCTCTATAACTCTTCCGCCTCCCTCTCTCTATAACTGTTCCTCCTCTCTCTCTCTATAACTCTCCCCTCTCCCTCTCTTTAACTCTTCCCCTCTCTCTATATATATCTCTTCCCCTCTCTCTATATATATCTCTTCCCCTCTCTCTCTCTATAACTCTTCCCCTCTCTCTCTCTCTATAACTCTTCCCCCTCCCTCTCTCTATAACTCTCCCCCCTCTCTGTATAACTCTTCCCCCTCTCTCTCTCTATAACTCTTCCCCTCCCTCTCTCTATAACTCTTCCTCCTCTCTCTCTATAACTCTCCCCCTCTCCCTCTCTTTAACTCTTCCCCTCTCTCTATATATATAACTCTTCCCCCTCTCTCTCTCTATAACTCTTCCCTCACTCTCTCTCTCTATAACTCTTCCCCTCCCTCTCTCTATGACTCTTCCCCCTCCCTCTCTTTAACTCTTCCCCCCCCTCTCTCTATATCTCTTCCTCCTCTCTCTCTCTCTATAACTCTCCCCCCTCTCCCTCTCTTTAACTCTTCCCCCCTCTCTCTCTCTATAACTCTTTCCCCCTCTCTCTCTATAACTCTTCCCCCTCTCTCTCTCTCTATAACTCTTCCCCCTCCCTCTCTCTATAACTCTTCCTCCTCTCTCTCTCTAACTCTCCCCCTCTCCCTCTCTTTATCTCTTCCCCCTCTCTCTCTCTATAACTCTTCCCCCCTTCTCTCTCTCTAACTCTTTCCCCCCTCTCTCTATATAACTCTTTCTTCTCCCCCCCCCCCCCCCCCACCCCCCACCCCACCCCACCCTCTCTCTATAACTCTTCCCCTTCTCTCTCTCTATAACTCTTCGCGATTGCGTGAGGTCAGTCTTCGTGAAGGACTAACAAGTGAAATGTGTCCACACCTGGCCGGCGTCTAGACACCTTCAGGTGTCAAACTGTTTGTCCCCACTTGTCGTCTTGTTGTCTTAGGCTCCCTGTATTGTCCGAACTACTCAGCCCCTTGTCTATCGGAACACACCGAGTCTCATTCCTAGCCGAAGCTTACGATGTAGGAGGAACGACGGGCAGCGAAAATATATTGTTGTGTAAAACTATTCAACTACGACGGAATAAGATGAAATATGATGAGTGTAAAATTTGGGACATATTTTAAGTGGATGGCGAGAGTGATATTCAACTAAGGCCCGCATTTCTACCGAGAGTAAATACCCATTTTTGATGGTGGCTACAACTGAAATCGAGAAAGGGTTATTCGAGTACTCGTGTTGGGAATCGAACCCGGGTCTTCGTGGTGAACGCTTGAACCACAAGGCTAAACTCCATAAACATTTTTATCACACACTTTTAAACCTGTAGATATGTCTACATTTTAATTATTAGTTTTACAAGTTATTGTTTCATGACTATATTTTACATAATACGTTAATATCTTTAGTTCCTTATTGAAGCAAGTCTAGATTTTCCTCAGGTACATCTCCCATCTCACCGGGTTCCTTTTCAATTAAAATGGAGTTATTTGTGTCTATGAAAATTATATATTTTCTTTAGTCTGGCATAGGATGGGCTTCCGTCGTTACAACATTACTTGTTTAATCTGAGGTGAGGTGAAATTGGGTTTAACGTCGCGTCCAAGATTATTGCACTTATATAGCGACGTGCATGCACGTGTATGTGTGTGTGTGGCTGCTTGTACTAGTCCGGACTGATGCCGATTTATAGTGCTAGCTCACTGAGATACCATGCCGCAGTTTAACATGAATACCCCACTC